TCAATATGTTGCATCAGTAAAAAAACAGACTTAAGTACCTAAAGACTAGGACACAACAAATCCACGTGAAGACTTTTTTCAACAATCCCTTCCTTAAACTGAAAGTTTCAAAATAGTTTCCTAATTGCATACACCAAGTAACTTTCTGAGCTTCATAAATGATGCCAACTTGAGGGACTCGGTCATTATATCAGCCATCTATCCTCACTCTTGTAGTAGGAAAGATCAATGATTCCATCTTTCGTGGGGTCCCTTAAGAAGTAATACTTCACATCAATATGCTTGCTTCTTTTTTGTAGAATTGGATTCTTGGAAAGTTTAATTACTGAACTATTGTTACATTAAACTGGTGTTCGCCCTTGTTGCTTGAAATACAGCTCCTCAAGAATTTTTCTCAATCATATAGCTTTTCATGCACACGAAGTTGTAGCTACGAACTCAGCTTCGATTGTTGATAAAAAGACAATTGGTTGTTTCTTTGAAGTTCGTTAAACAACTCTCAAACCTAGCATAAAAGTATACCCCGAAGTGCTTTTCGTGTCATCTTGATATCCAACATAATCACTATCAGTAAAAGCCCATCAAACCTGAATTTTCTCCATTCTTATAGAACAATTCATAATAAGCAGTTCTTTGCAGCAAGAAAATGACTTGGATGTTCCATGTACCTGCTAATGAGACTAACAACATGCATAATATCAAGCCTTATTGCAATCAAATACATCAAGCTTCCTACAATTTGCTTGTAAAAAATACTATCAACCCTTTTCTTCAGAATCTTTGATGAACTTCAGACCAAACTTTGTTAGAGTGCTCACCGAATTTCAATTCTTCATGTGAAACGTGTCTACAATTTCTTGCACATACGTCTTTTGGGAGACAAAAATAACATCAATTGTACTACTTCAATACCTAGAAAATAATCCGTCATTCAAGGATTAGACATTTCAAAACTCAACATCGTGGATTCCTTAATTTATTTATTTTAAGCAAGACACTATAATTTCAAGTAAATAAAAGATTGTCAACATATAAACACACAATGAGCGCTCCATCACCAATTTTAATATAAAGTGTATGCTCATATGAACTTTTTGAAACCTTTAAGTATCAACAAGACTATACCAAGCATGTGGGGCTTGTTTCAATCCATATAGATCCTTCTTTAATCTATACACTTTATGCTCATTTTCGATATTAACATGGAGGTTGATCAATAAATACCTATTCTTCCAAATGTACAAATAAGAAAGTTGATTTCACGTCCAACCGGAAGATAGGTTACGAGTTTTGTGCAGCAAATGTAATCACCAATCTGATTGTGCCATGTCGTGCTACGAGAGTGAAGTCTTCTCTATAATCATGCCAAACTCTAGCTTATAGCCTTTATATGCTAAGCGTGCATTGTAATTATTGACTTTGCTGTTTTCTTTCAACTTTGTCTTGTATACCCATTTTACACCAATTGTCTTTTGCCCTTTTGGAAGCCCTATCAACTCCCAACTGTTGTTTCTTTTAAGTCTCAATTTCAGCATCCACATCCACATCCAAATCCTTTCGCCATTTTGATTGTTTTACAACATCTTCGAATGCTTCATGATCTCAATCTGAAATTAGAGTAAAATGCATGAGTGAATCTTCATAATTGTTCGAGTCAGGTACCTCATAATCAATCAATCATCCATGCACGTCTTTTTCTAATACACTAGGATCGTTCTTCTTCTACATCAGCTGAAGCTGCAAGTGGGCTAAGAACATTTGCTGAAACATTTCAACTAGTTGCTGGATGTTGCAGATATACAATAGATTGTTGCCTTTTCTCATCATTTTCACCGTCAAAATCTACTAGAATTTGTTGTTGTGTTGTGTTTTCACTCCTTGGTCATAATTTTTCTTCATCAAAGACATCGCCAACTCATTACAATTTTCTTGGTGATAGGATTCTATAATGTGTAAGCTTTTGACTGGTCACTAAAACCAAGAAAAATGCATTTTTCTCCATCATTGTCCACTTTCTTCCTCTTCGCATCTGGAATATAACCGTAGGCAATACACCCAAGAACTAAAATGATCCACCGTGGGTCTTCTTGCTGTTTCGCGCTGTTTGTCGCTAATAATTAAAAAGGAGATCAGACGATTGTGTAAGGGACAGACATCTTGAGACAAAGTCTCAAAAATGGGTGTTTATTGACTGAAGATTACAATTGGATACGATAAGTTTCAATTAAAATGAAAAGGTCCTTCAATTAAAATGAAAAATGCGAAATTAACCCTTTTTTTTAATGATATACTAAAAAATCTATTTGTTTTTATATAAAAATATATTTAATGTCTTAAAAATAATATTAAAAATACGAAACGCATTATGACGCTTATTCTTTGCATTGACACGCCTAAACTTGTGATTCTTGATTCTCGACCTCGACGCCTCGCAACGCATTATGTATTTTAGAATATTGAAAAAAATATAGATTTACTTCCAAAATTATTTTATTGAGAGAATGCATGATTAAAAATTAAGTTTGAAATAAAATTGAGGCCAAAAAATGTTCAAGTAAATGTAATGAAAATTTAAATTATTTGTCTATAATATTTTTATAACTATATTTTATATATCTTTTATTGTTCTTTATTTTTAATTTTTAAAATTTTTAATTTTTATTTTTTAAAAGTTTTAAGTGTCTAAAAGTATATTTAAAAACTTGTTTTTTCATATTTTGGCCATTTTCTAAATTTTCACTGAAACACAAAAAATGTCAAAAATGCGTATTCAGTTTTATGATATAACTTTATCATTATTTTCGAAATGCATTTTCAGAAATATCGGACCAAACACATTTTCAGTAATTTGTAAAACTGGAAATAACTTGAAAATAGCAAACCAAACGCACCCTAAACAACATGATTGGATCACAATATTATTAGGATGAATATAAAGTGCAGAATAATCAAGATGAAAAGGGGAAAAAGAATTGGGTATATAGCAAAAAAAAAATCTTAAAATGAAAAACCTCATCACATTTTTTAAGATTGATGATCGTAGAAAATGAAACCTAGGGCAAAACAATTATTTATGGAATGAAAATTTGAAGAAATTGGGATTTGCACATAATGGGAGCGTTACAAAATCCTATAAATAATGGACAAAATAAGAAAATAGACACCAAAAAAGGAAAAAAAAGAAGAAGTTATTTTCAAACTTACATATTCTTCCATATATTACAACTTGAAATTAAAGTGCAGAAATAATCAAGAATTGGCATGCAGATAAATGTACTCGTCCAAATTTGTTTTTCACTCTACATAGCAGATATTTGATGTTGACTCCAAATGATAGGATAAGGTATTAAACTATACAATAAATAAAATTTACAACTAAAGATTCAAATGGGTCCAATTCTTCATCTGTTACTATATTTTAGTCCTTGTGTCTCAATGAGATTTTACTATTGTGCAAATAAATAATTGTTCCCTCATTTCATCCTTTCATTCTATAATACATTTTTCGAATGATGAACAAAAGCGTATCATTGGCACATAAGTGATAGGTATTATAACCACTGCATGATGCTTATCAAAAATGAAAAATGTTAATACAACGTCAGAAATGCTCATTAAGAATAGCAAGGGTTCTTTTATTTGCTTTGTGTCAAAATCAGTTAAGAAACACCATTTGTGTTTTGCATCTGACAACAAGCTGTAGAAAATAATATTGTCATCTATTATATATTATTTTTGGAATGATTTGAGGAGTACTTCTTTGAAACACAGTCTCAAACTCATGGGTTAATTTCCTTCCTACAGGTTGATTTGTTTTGCTTGGGACGTGAATGATGATAGAGGATGATGCAACATGTTATGGAGAAGACAGTAACTTAATGTTTTTAATTCGATGATTGAAAAAAAAAAAGTTTTAGCGATTCAAACATACTATTAGATAACGAAATGCACGGATAATATCTATTGAGTCTCAAACTCATGGGTTAATTTCCTTCCTATAGGTTGATTTGTTTTTGCTTGGGACGTGAATGATGGTAGAGGATGATGCAACATGTTATGGAGAAGACAGTAACTTAATGTTTTTAATTCGATGATTGAAAAAAAAAGTTTTAGCGATTCAATGTTTATGTTTGTTTAAAATTCCAGCTACAGTCTTGACTTTAAAAAAAATTCCGTAACTTAATTATTATTTGGAATTTTTGGACAAAATCAATGGGGTTTGATAGCCTCATGTATTAGCTACTGAATAAAGTTAAAATCATGTCGATCCGATGTCTGTCAAATTTTATGTCACTTTAAGTAAATTGTGTTGGATTATCTTCCAAACCGTGTCGCTGTGGGATCTTGAAGAACAATTTAATTAAGTAATCCAATACCTTCACAAGCCTCTATAAATATTAAATACAAGGTGGTGAAACCATATTATATGACAAACCAAGTCTAATACAATTCATTGTTGGATCGTACAGCTGCTTCACAAAAAGCCGTGGAGATCTTCTTTAGTAAAAGCACAAGCAGCCTCGTTGCAGGCACCTATGACTGAGCAGTCATAGCCGAGGCAGCTTGCAGGCTTTATCTGTCCTACTCTTCAATACAAAAGAGGATGACACAAGACACGTAAAAGGACTCTTCAATACAAAAGAGGATGGCACACTCTTCGTTACAAAAGAACACACTTCAAGGACGTTATTTTTGGGATATAAATTAGGTGGATAATCACAAATAAAATTCCAGTAAAAACCATATAATAGGAGCTCATTCTTTCCATTTATTTTGTAATCAACATTTATGTGTAATTACACAATACACTCTGTAAATGAAATATCAGGTTTATTCAAATATAGTATAGATATTGTACGGAAATCATCCCATTTGAAAATACAGCAGAAACAAAGAGACGAGGTTTTGCCCTTGGCATTTTACACAGGTTCAGCAGACTGCGTCTGTTGTTGTTAAAACTACCTAGGATTCAGGGCAATAACAAAAGGATTAAACATTTTCTAGCTAATTTCATTCATGATCACCCCAACCGAAATAACATTCTTACTAGGAATGAACTCGAACAAGCGCTTGCCCCCAAAGGCTAATCCATTTGCTTCACGGAATTCTGACCAGCCGGTGCTCATAGTAAGCTTAAACTGTCCTGTCTTTGGATGGTGCAGTGCAACAGGCCAACAACGGCTTCCTTTCTTCAACACCACGGCTTTTTTGTAAGCTAATTTGGCCTCAGTGACAAATTCCTTATTAAGGGGCTAAAATTAAGAGGAAGAGCAAATGTAAGATCCAAAAGCTTTCTGAACAAAAATGTGGCCAAAAGATTACGAGGGCCAGTCAGTGAGTTATTCGAACCAGTCTATATCGATGATGTTCCTTCAGAGTTACACGGAATCTTGGGTTCCTTGTTCTGGTGTAGACTGGTTGTTTCCCCTTTGCATCTGTTTCCATGAACCAAAAACCAGCAATTATGCTTTACTCATATTTGAACAATCATGCATACAGTTACATATAAAAAGTAAGGAAGAAAACAAACTGTGGGCAGAGCGTCGAAGGGACACTTCTTCGGGTTCAGAGTCGTCGGCCTGGCTTTCACCACCTTCAAATTCCATTTCACAAAGACATTAACGGTTGAGTTATCAGCAAGCCGAAATACTAGAAATGTCCCCATTTTGAGGTCAAGATCTTCGACAAATTTGACCCATCCTTGGGTGAAATAATGACTCCCCTCGTCTTGTTCTAATTTCACATTCCATGATTTTCCACTGTTGGTCTTGAGAGTAACATTTTCAGGCAATATTTTGCCGCGATTCTTCCCAAACTGAGGCGGCAATCGCTACACATATAGGGAATTCAACAAGCATTCGTTTATACGTGCTGGAGACTTCAATTTTCACTACTTACGATCTTGTAAACAACACCCTCTACCCCTCCCCACCCCATAAATCCCTCCAAAAGCACAAAAAGAAGCACATGCAGAGAGACAGACAGAGAGAGATAGAGTACCAGTCAAGGAGTGAAGTCTCCAACCAAGACCTTGAAAAAAGAAGGTTTTGGTTCTGGATTCCTGGCCATTGGTTTTCCAAGAAGAGAGATTTTCAGAGGTGCGAGATTTCAACTGTTGGTGGGGGCCAAATTTATTAATAAGAGGAAAATCTTTTGGCCGAGCTTTTGCCTAAGCCCTGTTTGACAATCGGGGCTTCCAAACTCTATTTTTAATATTACATTTTCACAATCATATTCTTCACGTAACTCAAAATTTTTTCTTACATTTTAAAAAACACAATCTTCAAAACTTTCTATTATTATAAAACTCATTTAACATTAAAAAAAAAATGGCAGTCAAACTTTGACCAGACAACTCAATGGTGTTGGCTGGAATTTTCAGTGCTCTACTTAACCAAGTATATGTTTGTCTCCTTTTAAAATAAAATCATTTAATTTTCATATTCATTTCCAATCATATATTTATACAATAAAATATTTAACGCATAAATTCAAAAAATTTCCTTACTTTTTAATCGCGTTCTCCAAAAAATAAATATTCGACACAATTTTTTTCAGAATAATCACCATTAGATAGAGGTTAAGTTTAATTAATAAGATAACATACTATTAGATAACGAAATGCAGGGATAATATCTATTGAGTATCAAACTCATGGGTTAATTTCCTTCCTATAGGTTGATTTGTTTTTGCTTGGGACGTGAATGATGGTAGAGGATGATGCAACATGTTATGGAGAAGACAGTAACTTAATGTTTTTAATTCGATGATTGAAAAAAAAAGTTTTAGCGATTCAATGTTTATGTTTGTTTAAAATTCCAGCTACAGTCTTGACTTTAAAAAAAATTCCGTAACTTAATTATTATTTGGAATTTTTGGACAAAATCAATGGGGTTTGATAGCCTCATGTATTAGCTACTGAATAAAGTTAAAATCATGTCGATCCGATGTCTGTCAAATTTTATGTCACTTTAAGTAAATTGTGTTGGATTATCTTCCAAACCGTGTCGCTGTGGGATCTTGAAGAACAATTTAATTAAGTAATCCAATACCTTCACAAGCCTCTATAAATATTAAATACAAGGTGGTGAAACCATATTATATGTCAAACCAAGTCTAATACAATTCATTGTTGGATCGTACAGCTGCTTCACAAAAAG